CAGTTACGAAAGCTTTAAATCGAAATTTAACATCACCTTGAAATTACTCAATTTGGATCGCACAGCAGCAGCGGCAGCGACATTGCCCCCCCCCCCCCCCCCCACTGCAAAAAGTTGGCAGGACCCTCCTGAAAAAAAGAGTCTTGGGACTCAGCGAGGCTTTCCTGAGTCTTCTTCCTAGCGTTGTTCCCACTGTGGCATTGTCTTCCCCATTTGGCTCGGTCCAGGGCATCTTCGGAGGATGCGTTGACCGTCTTCATGTCTTCCTTTCCTGAGTAAACAAGCTAAAACAACATCAACAACAACAACAACAATCAACCCCTTGACCCCGCAGGCGTGTGCTGGAGTTGGGCGCGGGTCCGGGCCTGGTGGGGTTGGCCGTGCTGGGGGGCTGTGACCCCCGCGAGGTCGTCCTGAGCGACGCTCACTCGGCCGTGCTGCAGCAGCTGGAGCACAACCTGGCGCTGAACCACAATCACCTGCGCCCCCAACACGACAGGTGCTGCCCTCCCTAACAAAGACAAAGAGACAAAGATCCCCCGTATAGCCTTAACAGACTGTAGGGGCAAGTGCTGTTAGCGAGCACCTATGAAGGCCGGAACGGCACACGAGGGGGTGGGTGGCTGGCACCACGCCCGACCGCCTTTGTCTCCCCAGTGGCGATGTTTACACACCTCACCAGGTACTCATTTGAGGCTGAGTCGACCTAGGGGAGGCCCGGGACCGGTTCAGATAATCGTCACTGGTGTTGGCCGTGAGCGGGAATCGAACCCGGGTCACCAGGTTCATAGCGCAGCGCGCTAACCACTAAACTACCGCTCTTCCTAACACACGCACACACACAGGCACTGTCCCCTCTACACACACACACAGGTGCTGTGCCCCCCGTACGATACGTGCTGCCCCCTCCACCTTTAGACCATACAGTGGAAATTGATAGAGGCCAAATACTGTAAACGCGTGGTGACGTTGATTCTAAATGTGGAGGGAAAAACCGGAGGACCCGGAGAAAAATCCACGCAACCACGGGGAGAGAAACGCACCGCAAACTCCAAATATACAGCAGCAGGCGTCAGGGTCGGGATCGAACCCACGACCTTCTGTATACCGGGCGAGGTAGTTAACATCTCCTAGCCACCGTGATGATGATGAGAGACACGCAAACTCCAAATGTACAGCAGGCGTCCAGGTCGGGACCGAATCCACGACCTCCTTGCATGCTGGGCGAGGTAGTTAACATCTTGCTTGCCCACTGACAAGGAAATGATCAGTCTATAAATTTTATGGTAGGTTTATTTGAACAGTGAGAGACAGAATAACAACAACAAAATCCAGAAAAACGCATGTCAAAAATGTTTAGAAATTTCTTTCGTGAGTGGGCAAACGTACAAAATCAGCAGGGGATCAAATACTTTGTTCCCTCACTGTAGGTGCTGCTCCCCCACACCTCCTAAACCACGGTTTGGCTGTGGCTCAAGTCGACAAATTGCCAGTGGAAGAGGGGTTAAACGTCAAACCTCCTACGCATTTCACAAGTAGTACTAATCGCATATCTGCATTTCCCATAAATATGCTAAATTCCTCTTGATATGCAAATTATTTTGTCAAGGCGCTCTTCGCCCCTCCATCCCAGCTTAAATAGACGCTCCAAGCCTGGGGCTTGTCATTCAGACGCTGTCTCCTCGACAGACCTGTTCTCCACCTGAGGACGGCTGCTTGCGTTGTGGCCGAAACGTCGTGAGAATTATTATATGTTTTATTTTTATTATTTTATTATTTCCATTCTACGTGACTTTACCGAAAGAACCAAGAAGATGGGGTTAACCGTACTCTAACTTGACCTCGCTGTGACCCTGCCCCCTACTGCTAGGGGCTTGAAGGGCCCCCACGGCCGGGTTGTGGCACTGGACTGGACGTCCGCGGGGCAGGAGGAGCTGCAGGAGCTGAACGCCGAAGTCATCCTCGCTGCCGGTACTGCCAGAGAGTCGTAGTGCTGCACTTCACGGGGACCCTGGTAGAGAGTAGTTCTACAGCCACAGGGACCCTGGTAGAGAGTAGTTCTACAGACACAGGGACTCTGGTAGAGAGTAGTTCTACACCTCACAGGGACCCTGGTAGAGAGTAGTTCTACAGTTACAGGGACTCTGGTAGAGAGTAGTTCTACACCTCACGGGGACCCTGGTAGAGAGTAGTTCTACACCTCACGGGGATCCTGGTAGATCGTTGTCTTGGAGATCACAAGTGATCCTGGTAGAGAGTAGTTCTACACCTCACATGGGCCCCTGGTAGAGAGTAGTTCTACAGCCACAGGACTCTGGTAGGGAGTAGTTCTACACTTCACATGGGCCCCGATAGATCGTTGTCTTGGAGATCACAAGTGACCCTGGTAGAGAGTAGTTCTACACCTCACATGGACTCTGGTAGAGAGTAGTTCTACACCTCACGGGGATCCTGGTAGAGAGTAGTTCTACAGCCACAGGGACTCTGGTAGAGAGTAGTTCTACAGCTACAGGGACCCTGGTAGAGAGTAGTTCTACAGCTACAGGGACTCTGGTAGAGGAGTAGTTCTGCACCTCACAGGGACTCTGGTAGAGAGTAGTTCTACACCTCACATGGGCCCCGATAGATCGTTGTCTTGGAGATCACAAGTGACCCTGGTAGAGAGTAGTTCTACAGCTACAGGGACTCTGGTAGAGAGTAGTTCTACACCTCACATGGGCCTCGATAGATCGTTGTCTTGGAGATCACAAGTGATCCTGGTAGAGAGTAGTTCTACACCTCACATGGGCCCCTGGTAGAGAGTAGTTCTACAGCCACAGGACTCTGGTAGAGAGTAGTTCTACACCTCACATGGGCCCCGATAGATCATTGTCTTGGAGATCACAAGTGACCCTGGTCGAGAGTAGTTCTACACCTCACGGGGATCCTGGTAGAGAGTAGTTCTACACCTCACATGGGCCCCTGGTAGAGAGTAGTTCTACACCTCACAGGGACTCTGGTAGAGAGTAGTTCTTCAGCCACAAGACTCTGGTAGGGAGTAGTTCTACACTTCACATGGGCCCCGATAGATCGTTGTCTTGGAGATCACAAGTGACCCTGGTAGAGAGTAGTTCTACAGCTATAGAGACTCTGGTAGGGAGTAGTTCTACACTTCACATGGGCCCCGATAGATCGTTGTCTTGGAGATCACAAGTGACCCTGGTAGAGAGTAGTTCTACAGCTATAGAGACTCTGGTAGGGAGTAGTTCTACACTTCACATGGGCCCCGATAGATCGTTGTCTTGGAGATCACAAGTGACCCTGGTCGAGAGTAGCACTGCACCTCACGGGGATCCTGGTAAGGAGTAGCACTCGGCTGCTTCCAAAAGACGCACAAGCGAACGGCTCAGCCGTGGCTCAGCTCTGGCTCAGCTTTTGGGGAAAAACCTGAGCATGTGGCCAGGAACATGGCTCAGAGCGGGCTCGAGTTAAATACGGCGGCCTTGAGCCGGAGCCGAGCCGCCTCACCTGAGCTACGACTGAGAACACGGGGCCTGAAATAACCACCGGCGGCTACGATTCGCCACCGCTGCGGCTCTAGACGTGGTGTACGACCCGGACCTCATCGACGACCTGGTGCGGGTTTTGCGGTTGCTGCTGCTTCACCGCGTGGGGCTGGGGGAGGGCGGCACGGCCGGCGGCCCCGTCGGATTCGTGGCCTCTGCGGTGCGGAACCAGGACACCTACGCGCTCTTCCTGCGGTGCCTGGGTGAGTCGCCGCGTCGTGTGTGGCGAGATGTTAACTGCCTCGCCCGGGATGCAAGGAGGTCGTGGGTTGGATCCCGACCCTGACGCCTGCTGCTGTATATTTGGACTTTGCGTGTCTCTCATCATCATCACGGTGGCTAGGAGATGTTAACTACCTCGCCCGGTATACAGGAGGTCGTGGGTTCGATCCCGACCCCTCACGCCTGTTGTATATTTGTAGTTTGCGTTGCATCTCTCTCCCCGTGGTTGCGTGGATTTTTATTCGGGTCCTTTAGTTTTTCCCTCCACATTTAGAATCAACGTCACCACGCGTTTACAGTATTTGGCCTCTATCAATTTCCACACGATGATGATGAGCCGCTTCGTTGAGCTATCATTTGTGATGGCCAGGTCGCGTCTGAAAAAGAGCTACGTAGCTCAGTGGGCCTTACCTAGTAAAATATATATTTTTAAACACGTTCCTTCGGAGTGGGCAGGCAGGAACTTGGTTGGACGGCGCATTCGTGCGATCCGTGTCACGCGGCGCAAGCTGCGTGGGGCGGCACGTCACGTGGTGCTGAGCCCGCCCCAAGCGCTCTATGAAATACAAATCGAGGGCGTGGCTATGCACGACAGACAGACAAATAATCCCTGGTGGGCAGTGTGGAACCTGTTGTTCCTACCTGTAATAAAGTGTGTGGAGGAGCGCGAGTAGGACCTGGGCGCGCGGTATGCCAACAGCAGGGCCGGGTAGACAAAAGGGTGTGATGCTGCTGGCATCACACCTTCGCAGGCGCTGCTTGCCAACAGCTCTTGCCCCCGGCAGCCTGCGTGGGCTACACGGTGGATCTTTGTCTGTGTGTGTGTCCAGGTGAGGCGGCTCTGCAGGTGGAGGCCGTGGATCTGGAGCCGAGCGACAACGCCGGCCAGGACGCCCCCCTGCGTCTCCTCTCCATACGCGCCGGGGACCCAACAGGGACGACGCCTCACGTAGACCGCTAACATGGCCCCCTGATCTAGATCCCTAACACAGAACCCTCCTCGCGTGAGATGCCTACACGACCCTTGATACAGAACCCTCACACATAGCCCCTCCACACAGATCCCTTCAACCCCAGGACTGGCCATCAGAAACCCGAGGAGACAGGGACCATGACCACAGCCTTTGCGTGCGTCTGCTTGGCTGTGCATGTTTGTGTGTCTGCGCGCGCGTCTGTGCGTTTTGTTGGCGACGAATAAATCAACACGCGTTTTAAACACACGCGTGCATTTTATTACAAGCAGACACGCTACACGGATAGCCCCGCACACACATGCCCACCGCCCCTCCAACACCGCCGTGCGAGACGGACGTACGGTGTAGCCAGCGGTTAGCGCGCCGCGCTACAAACCTCCGGCGACCAGAGCTTGACGATTGCCGCTCACAGCCGCCAACAGCCGCCAACAGCCGCCAACACCGTGTGACGAATATCTCAACGGGGCCCGGGCATCGCCTCAGTCAACTCGGCTGTGAACGCATCCAAACGCCTCGAGTTTCCATCGCTTCACAGACGCGTCCACTGAGCTATTTATCTGGTTTTTCAGAAGCAACCTGGCCACCGCAAATGATAGCTCAACGAAGTGGCTCGTGGAAATTTACAAGACGTCCTATTAAACGCGTGGCGATGTCGATTCGAAATGTGGAGGGACCAACCGGTGGGCCCGGAGAAAAATCCACGCGACCACGGGGAGAGGAGAGACGCGCAGACTTCAAATATACAGCAGCAGGTGACTGGGTCCAGATTGAACACAAGCCCTCTTGTGTACCAGGCGAGGGAGTTAACATCTCACCACGGAGAGAGAGACACACAAACTCCAAATATACAGCAGCAGGTGACTGGGTCCAGATTGAACACAAGCCCTCCTGTGTACCAGGCGAGGGAGTTAACATCTCACCACGGAGAGAGACGCGCAGACTCCAAATATACAGCAGCAGCAGGCGTCGGGGTCCAGATTGAACACACGACCTCCTGTGTACCAGGCGAGGGAGTTAACATCTCACCGCCGCGGTGGCCACGACTGGGTCGGTCCTCAACTCTTGCGAATGAGACTCCTCATCCTGGTGTGTCTCTCTCTCTTGAGCTGTTCCTCACCCGGCTTTGTTTCGAAAACAAATTCAAACTGGAGGCACGACCTGGCGGACGGTGACGATGGGGCTGGGGTCGCAGCGGCAGGCCGGGAGGTCTGCCCGGCAGCAGGGCCGCGCGTCGTCCTCGTGTCCGTAGTCCGCGCGGGACACGCGGTCCGAGCCGATGTCCTCCAGCCGGGCCGCAAGCGCCGCCTGGGCCCGCAGCACGGGGCCCCAGAACCCCGGCACCGCGGCCCCCACAGGGGACCCCTCGCCGGGGTCGGTCTCCACGTTGAAGAGCAGCGGGGGGTCGTGCCGGACGGGGGGCTCCGGTGGCGGCCCCCCGCACGGCCGGGCGCCGCCTGCGGGAGGGGAAGCGGCGGCGGCGCGTGACGACTACGGAATCCGGCAGGGGGAGGGGAGCGATGGCGAGGTGGTGCGGGGTGGTGGCTATACCGCTGTAGGTGTGCTTGTGCGTCGGAGTTGCCGGTTGGATGTGTGTAGGCTCCGAGTGATGGTTGGGGAGGTGAGTAGGTGGATGGGGAGGCGAGTAGGTGGATGTGTGTAGGCAGGAGTGATGGTTGGGGAGGTGAGTGAACGCAGGAGTGCTGGTTGGGTGAGTAAGCGGATATACTCAATGAGTGCCCGGTACGGTGTGTAAACATCGCTCCTGGGGAGACAAAGGCGACCACTGACCACCCACCCCCTCGTGTGCCCCCCTGCCAGCCTTAATAGGTGCTACTCGCTAACAGGTATTGCCCCAACAGTCTGTTCAGGCTACATCGGGGATAGTAGTCGTAATAAATTTTTACCCTTTTATCAAAACTGGCACCAAAACTGACACCTTTACACAAGGAATCATGTTTGCAATAACCACAATACTTGCAGTCAAAATACAAACAAAAAGAGACAACTCTGATAATGATATGCACTGTCCTTGAAGTTGATTGGTCCACACCCGAGACAGCTTTTCTTAGAGCCTAGTCTCCACTGGTGTTGGACCAGATGACACCAAAAGGCGCACAACTCAAAAACAGCGCACAGTATTGAAAATAAAAATACATGGGGGATCTTGATCTGTGTCAGTGAGTGTGAGTGAGTGTGAGTGAGAGTTGTCACCCGTCAGGAAGAACACCTTGTGAGGCCCCACCCTCACCGTGTCCAGGTCCCCAAACTCGCCCCCAGCTCCACTGTTTGGGTGGAACAGCACCTGAGGCAGGGTCACATGGCAAGGTCACACAGCAGGGTCACATGGCAGGGTCACATCTCACAGGGTCACTCGTACAGCAGGGTCACATCTCAGAGTGTCAAACACGCCGCGTACGTATTTTGAACTTCTTTCGCACCGTACGTAGCCAACCGCGCCAGTCGGAGGTGCGGGGGAAGGACCGCAACACTAAACACAAAGCAGTTTTAGACACATTTCCTGCGTGCCCACATGCCCCATGCGGATATACATTTGCACGTGATAAGCCACTTCGTTGAGACATCGTTTGTGGCCTGGTCGCTTCTTAAAAATAAGCTAATAGCTCAGTGGGCTTTACCTGGGCAGATAAAAAATAGTTTTGTTTTATTTGTATATATTTTTAAAGTGATATGTTCACCTTTCCTGTACTTTACACTCCTATCGTGTTTTTTGTTTATTGTTGTAACGTTCTGATTCTGTCTCGTGTCCACGTGTCCCGTGTCCCCAGGTCCACGTGTCCCCACGTCCCCATGTCCTCATGTCCTCATGTCCACGTGTCCCATTACATCATGTCCCGTGTCCTGTATCCCCATGTCCACGTGTCCCCATGTCCCGTCACATCGTGTCCTGCATACCCATGTCCACGTGTCCCGTTACATCATGTGCCGTGTCCCCATGTCCGTTACATCGTGTCCTCATGTCCACGTGTCCCATCACATCGTGTTCCGTGTCCCAATATCCCCATGTCCACGTGTCCCGTCACATCATGTCCCGCCGTCACCGTGTGTCCCGTGTCCCGCTGTCCCAGCAGGACGTGCCGCATGTCGGCGCCGTCGTAGCGGCGCCCGGGAGGCAGGGGCACCCGCGCCAGGGGCAGCAGCGTGGGGAGCACGTCCAGCGCACTGCACACACGGGGGACGCGCGCGGAGATTCACAGGTGCACGTTGAACTTCTTTCGCACCGTACGTAGCCAACCATGCAAAGCGGAGGTGCGGGGGAAGGACAACAAGCTTAACACAACAACCAGCTGTTCTAAATAAATTAGTTTTCAATCTAGATGATGATTTAAAAGTGCATAGCTCCAGTAGCGTCCGAATGTCGGAAGGAAGAGCGTTGCAGACGGCCGCAGAAGCGCCGCGCGATGCGATGACCACCGTGTTTGTTCGATGGCCGAGCCAAAAGCCTCTGCGAGATGGGGACATGGCAGACGCAGGGAGACGCAGGGAGACGCAGGGAGACTCTGGGAAGATTCGGTGAAATACGGGGAGATACGGGCATATGGGAGGTATGGGCATATGGGAGATACGGGAGCTGCGAACACAGGGAGGTACACGCGAGATACGGGAGACAGGAGCACAGAAGATAATGAAGATGAGGGGACACAGGGTGCCGTGATGGTGAGATGTTAACTACCTCGCCTGGTGTGCAGGAGGTCGTGGGTTTGATCCCAACCCTGACGCCTGCTGCTGTATATTTCGAGTTTGCGTCTCTCTCCGCTGTGAGATGTTAACTACATCGCCTGGTATGCAGGAGGTCGTGGGTTTGATCCCGACCCTGACGCCTGCTGCTGTATATTTGGAGTTTGCGTCTCTCTCTCTCTCTGCCCGTAGTCGCGTGGATTTTTGTACTTCGGGTCATCCGGTTTTGCCCTCCGTATTTAGAATCAACGTCGCGCGTTCAGAGTATCTGTCTGCTACTATAAGTTTGCACACGACGATGATGATGAGCCCACTTTGTGGAGCTATCATTCGCGACGGCCACGTCGCTTCTAATAAAGAGCTGCACACCTCAGCGCGGCCTTGCCTGGTCAAATCAAAAAGAGTCGATGGCTTCAGTTTCACGCGGACCACGCACGGGACACACCCGTCCAGCCGCACCACGCCTGCGTGGTCTGGCAGGAGGAAGGAAGCGACGGCGAGGGGCGGTGGGCGGCCTTCCGGCGCCGTCACCTGAGCAGCGCCGAGCTGGAGGAGCCGGGCGGCACGTGGCCCGGCCACAGCGCCAGGCCCGGCACGCGGTGCCCGCCCTCCCACGTGGTGCGCTTGCCTGCCGCCCCGCCTGCACCACCAAGACACCGCACATGCCCGGCAGGGTGCTGTGGATAGGGCGCTGTGGACAGGGGACTGGTGCTGGGTGAGGGTGCAGGGCGCTGTAGACAGGGCGCTGGGTGAGCGTGCAGGGTGAGGGTGCTGGGTGAGGGTGCTGTGGACAGGGTGCTGTAAACAGGGTGCTGGGTGCTGTATGCAGGGCGCTGTAGCCAGGGCGCTGGGTGAGCGTGCTGGGTGCTGGGTGCTGTAGACAGGGTGCTGGGTTCTAGATTTGAAGCTTTCGTGACTGCAAGGATTCATATTCTTAGGTTTTTTCGGTAAAGTCACGTAGGTAAAACATTAAAATTAATAAAAGTAAAATAAAATAAAAATCACGACGTTTCGGAAGCAACACAAGCTTCCGTCTTCAGGTGTCGGGCTGTGACGGTTCCACCTGAAGACGGAAGCTTGTGTTGCCTCCGAAACGTCGTGATTTTTATTTTATTTTACTTTTATTAATTTTAATGTTTTACCTACGTGACTTTACCAAAAAAACCTAAGAATAGGGTGCTGGGTGCTGTAGACAGGGCGCTGGGTGAGGGGGCTGTATGCAGGGTGCTGGTGCCCACCTCTGAGACACTGCCACTTGCCCGTGTACGGCCGCGCGCTCCCAGCCAGATGGCACTTCTCGTCCCACGGCCCATTGTCACCTGCATGGTCACAGCGCAGGGAGGGGAGCCGCGGGGAGGGGAGCCGCGGGGAGGGGAGCCGCGGGGAGGGGAGCCGCAGGGAGGGGAGCCGCAGGGAGGGGAGCCGCGGGGAGGGGAGCCGCAGGGAGGGGAGCCGCAGGGAGGGGAGCCGCGGGGAGGGGAGCCGCAGGGAGGGGAGCCGCGGGGAGGGGAGCCGCAGGGAGGGGAGCCGCGGGGAGGGGAGTCGCAGGGAGGGGAGCCGCAGGGAGGGGAGCCGCAGGGAGGGGAGCCGCAGGGGAGGGGAGCCGCAGGGAGGGGAGCCGCGGGGAGGGGAGCCGCAGGGAGGGGAGCCGCAGGGAGGGGAGCCGCGGGAGGGGAGCGCGGGGAGGGGAGTCGCAGGGAGGGGAGTCGGGGGGGAGCCGGGGGCGGGAGGGGAGCCGCGGGGAGGGGAGCCGCAGGGAGGGGAGCCGCGGGGAGGGGAGCCGCGGGAGGGGAGCCGCAGGGAGGGGCGCCGCAGGGAGGGGAGCCGCGGGAGGGGAGCCGCGGGGAGGGGAGCCGCAGGGAGGGGAGCCGCAGGGAGGGGAGCCGCGGGGAGGGGAGTCGCGGGGAATCGCGGGGAGGGGAGCCGCAGGGAGGGGAGCCGCAGGGAGGGGAGCCGCGGGAGGGGAGCCGCAGGGAGGGGAGCCGCGGGGAGGGGAGCCGCAGGGAGGGGAGCCGCAGGGAGGGGAGCCGCGGGAGGGGAGCCGCAGGGAGGGGCCGCAGGGAGGGGAGCCGCAGGGAGGGGAGCCGCGGGGAGGGGAGTCGCAGGGAGGGGAGTCGCGGGGAGGGGAGCCGCAGGGAGGGGAGCCGGCGGGAGGGGAGCCGCAAGGGGAGGGGAGCCGCATGGGATGGGAGCCGCAGGTAGTGAGCCCAGGAGGGAGCCCAGGGTGAGGGTAAGCCGCAGGGAGGGGACCGCAGGGAGGGGAGCCGCAGGGAGGGGAGCCGCGGGGGAGGGAGAGCCGCAGGGAGGGGACCGCAGGGAGGGGAGCCGCGGGGAGGGAGTCGCAGGGAGGGGAGCCCGCAGGGAGGGGAGCCGCAGGGAGGGGAGCCGCGGGGAGGGGAGCCGCAGGGAGGGGAGCCGCAGGGAGGGGAGCCGCAGGGAGGGGAGCCGCGGGGAGGGGAGTCGCAGGGAGGGGAGCCCGGCGGGGGCGGGGAGCCGCGGGGAGGGGAGCCGCAGGGAGGGGAGCCGCAGGGAGGGGAGCCGCAGGGAGGGGAGCCGCGGGGAGGGGAGCCACGGGGAGTGGCTCAGGTCCCGTAAACCCAACACGTGCGGTTCGCCACCATCGCGCAGCGAACTAAAACGAGTTTATTATCTTGCCTTGGTGGTGAGGTCCCACTGAGCTACGGAGATCTTTTTTCAGAAGCGAACTGGCCGTCACGAATGATGGCTCAATAAAAGCGGTTCCTGGGCCTGCCCTAGATCGACTCAGCCTCAAACGAGTACCCGGTGCGGTGTGTAAAACATCGCCACCCCCTCGCGTGCCGTGCCGGTCTTCACAGCTGACGCGCGCTAACAGCTCTTGCCCCAACGGCCTGTCAAGGCTACGCGGGGGATCTTTGTGCGCGCCAGTGCGTGTGCGCACGTACTGGAGAACCACACGAGTGTGTTGTTGCTCAGGCCGGCGCTGCTCAGCGCCCGCACCACTCGGCCCACCGTCCCGTCCAACTCCTTCAGCGCCCGGGCCCAGGGGCCCCGTGGCCCCGGGGCCCACGGCAGCGGCACGTGCACGTGGGCAGGGGCCAGCAGCAGCAGGAACGGGGGGGAGCCGGGGCCACTGCCAGACAAAGACAAAAATTTCGATTTAAAGCTTTCGTGACTGCAGGGATTCATCTTCTTGGTTCTTTCGGTAAAGTCACGTAGAAGGGAAATAATAAAATAATAAAAATAAAATACAATTCTCACGAATGACGCCTTCTTTCCGACATACCTGAATAACACTGTCTTTCCGACAAACCTGTTCTTCACCTGAGGACGGCTGCTTGCGTTGTGGCCGAAACGTCGTGAGAATTGTATTTTATGATGTTTTATTTTTATTATTTTATTATTTCCCTTCTACGTGACTTTACCGAAAGAACCAAGAAGATGAACTCGGGTTGCGCTAACCGCTCCAGATTTCTCCCGGATAAATAAATATTTTGATTCTGAATAAAGATTCTGAGTGCCTGGTGCGGTGTGTAAACATCGCCACCGGGGAGACAAAGGCGGCCGGGTTTTGTGCTGCTGGCCACCCACCCCCTCGCGTGCCGTGCCGGCCTTCGTAGGTGCCACTCGCTAACAGCACTTGCCCCTACAGTCGATGAAGGCTGTCCACTGTATCTGTGTCCTTGTGTGTGGATGGGTTACTTGTGCGTGTGTGTGTATGTACATGTGTGTGTTGAAATTCTTTCGCACCGAACGTAGACAACCGAGTCTATGGGCAGTGTTAGTCTATGAGTAGTGTTAGTCTATGGGTAGTGTTGAGTCTATGGGTAGTGTTAGTCTATGGGCAGTGTTGAGTCTATGGGTAGTGTGAGTCTATGGGCAGTGTTGAGTCTATGGGCAGTGTTGAGTCTATGGGTAGTGTGAGTCTATGGGTAGTGTGAGTCTATGGGCAGTGTTGAGTCTATGGGCAGCGTTAGTCTATGGGCAGTGTTGAGTCTATGGTGCAGTGTTGACTCTATGGGTAGTGTTAGTCTATGGGCAGTGTTAGTCTATGGGCAGTGTTGAGTCTATGGGTAGTGTTGAGTCTATGGGCAGCGTTAGTCTATGGGCTGTGTTAGTCTATGTGAAGTATGGGAATTGACGGCAGGAACTTCTTGACGGGTAACACACTTTTATTAAATCCTTTAGGTATCACAATACAACGTGTGGTCTCTCTTCTTCCTCCGACACACTCCACTAATCTCGTGTAAGCTCTAGGCCTCTGGCTACACCCGATACACTTGACTCGTGTAGACCCTATGCCTCTGGCTACACACAATATACTCGACTCGTGTAAGCCCGATGCCTCTGGCTACACAATACACTCGACTCGTGTAAGCCCTATGCCCTGGCTACACATAGTACATTCGGCTCGTGTAGACCTATGGCTACACCCACTACACTCGCCTCTGGGTTACACAGAGTCCCGGTCCCCTTAGGACAGCGGGGCTAGGTACCGCAGGGCTCTAGGTCTTCATCCCCGTCTTCCTTCTTCGCTGGTTACACACTGCCCTTACGCCTGTGTGCATCCCCTTTTATAGCCCCTGCTCACGAGGGACGGAGCTGATGCGGCGTCGACGTGAGCGTCGTTCCTTAATGACCCAATCACGACGCACTCTCTCTACGATCCGCTTTCCCCAGCGCGTGTTAACATTACTCCACCAATCACACTGCGCTGCCACCTGATCACTCCCTCTCAGCGCGTCACCGCCCACAGCCAATCGGTACCCCGTAACCCACGACCCCGCGCTGACCCCTGATCCTCCACCGTCAGCGCGCGTCGCCACCTACACAGCCAATCATCACGCACTGTGCCTACGATCCTTAATCCCAGCGCGTATCACCTCTACATATGGATAGTGTTAGTCTATGGGCAGTGTTAGTCTATGGGCAGTGTTGAGTCTATGGGTAGTGTTGAGTCTATGGGCAGCGTTAGTCTATGGGCAGCGTTAGTCTATGGGCAGCGTTAGTCTATGGGTAGCGTTAGTCTATGGGCTGTGTTAGTCTATGGACAGTGTTAGTCTATGGGTAGTGTTAGTCTATGGGCAGTGTTAGTCTATGGGCAGTGTTAGTGTATGGGCAGTGTTAGTGTATGGGCAGTGTTAGTCTATGGGCAGTGTTAGTCTATGGGTAGTGTTAGTGTATTGGCAGTGTTAGTCTATGGGCAGTGTTAGTCTATGGGCAGTGTTAGTCTATGGGTAGTGTTAGTGTATGGGCAGTGTTAGTCTATGGTCAGTGTTGAGTCTATGGGCAGTGTTGAGTCTATGGGCAGTGTTAGTCTATGGGCAGTGTTAGTGTATGTGCATTGTGAGTCTATGGGCAGTGTGAGTCTATGGGCAGTGTTAGTCTATGGGCAGTGTTAGTGTATGTGCATTGTGAGTCTATGGGCTGTATGTACGTTGAACTTCTTTCGCACGGCACGTAGCCAACCCCGCTAATCAGGGGTTTCCCCAAGAGGGGGTCACCTTTGCTGGCCAGGGTTGGAGCCGGCCTACCTGTGCTGGCGGATGAACCACTCGGCGCGCTCCGCGTATCTCCGTGCGAGTGTCTCCAGCCTGGCCGGCTGCTCCACAATCTCCGCGTTCTCAAAGAGCGGAACCCCCACGGGCTCTGCACAGCCACCGCCACTGCGCAAAGGCAAAGAGAGACAAAGATCCCTCTCCCCTATAGCCTTAACGGACCGTTGGGGCAAGTGCTGTTAGCGAGCGGAACCCGCGCAGGCCGGCACGGCACACGAGGGGGTGGGTGGTCAGCCCCACAAGCAGCACCACAACCAGTACCGCAACCAGCACCAGAAGCAGCACCACAAGCAGCACCACAAGCAGCACCACAACATCACCACAACGAGCACCGCAACCAGCACCGCAACCAGAACCACAACCAGAACCACAACCAGCACCACAACCAGCACCACAACCAGCACCACAACCACCTTCGCGGGCACAACTAAAAACGAAACTTCCCTGGCAACCACCGTCACAGCCACTTGGTGCACAGCCTGCAAACACACACAGCACATCTCAGCAGTCACCATCAACAACAACAACAATCACTAGGCCTGCCACCACCCCCCTCCACCACCACCACCACCAAACACAAAGACCCCCCCCGTACAGCCTTAACAGACTTTTGGGGCAAGTGCCGTTAGTGAGTGGCACCTATGAAGGCCAGCACGTCACATGAGGGGGTGGCCAGCACCACGCCCGGCCGCCTTTGTCTCCCCAGTGGCACCGTTTACTCACCGCACCAGGTACTCATATGAGGCTGAGTCGACCTAGGGGCGGCCCGGGACCAGTTCAGATAATAATCGCTCGTGTTGGCCGTGAGCGGTGATGGAACTCGGGTCGCTGGGTTCGTGGCACAGAGCGCTAACCGCTACACCACCGCTCCCCCGCACACACACACGTACAAAGACAAATGTCCCCCGTATAGCATTAACATATCGTTTGGGGCAAGTGCTGTTAACTGTGCGGCACATTTGACGGCCGGCACGGCTCAGTGAGGAGGGTAAGTGACGAACACCACGCCTGGCCGCCTTTGTCTCCCCGTTGCCGATGCTTTACAAAGATGTGCCAGCTACCAGTTCGAGGCGGAGGTCAGGGACCAGTTTGGATCACGCACCGCCGCTAGCCCCGGCCGGGGTCAAACTCGTGTCACCG